CTTTGCGCGAAATTCAAACCAAACCAAGTTTCTAACATTACATTAATGCACTATTGTTATTTGTAGCAGGGTACTAAGCAGTTGTTTTTTTTTGTTATATTCCTAAACTCCAGTTCCTGATTTAAATATATTTTAACATTTTAAAAGATGTATATACATTTAGCTATTATCATAAAGAACATTTTAATTAAGATTTTTGTTTTTAAGATTTGACATTAATATGTTACTTGGAATACAATACTTTTACATGGTAAATAACTATTGTGTTTCTGTGGTGTAGGTGCAGTACAGTGGAGGAAGTTGCACTGACCCTAACCTGGGTTACTTTATAGCATTTTCCAGTATATTTTACACCATAAGTGTAATATCTTTTGTCCAGTTGGTAAGTATGGTGTTGATTTGTTAAAAAACATTAAAATGTCATCCAAATTTTGTTTGATGTGAACGTACAACTAAAGAATATTTAAGTATTATAAAACTTATTGATTTTTGGTAGATTTGACTTCTGTGTGACCTTAGGGTTTTAATTACCCAATAGGACCTCTCTGTACAAGTATCAACACTTGATAATCAATGCAATCACTGTTGTAACAGTTTATTAAAATATCGGAATCTGGAAAAGACTTAAGATTAAAAATTGTGATTCACGACAGTTGTCAACTGAGTGTGCCATACTTTTTAGATGTAATTTTTTAAATTTTAATATAGGATTAGAAATGGAATTTTATGTTAATTTTGCATGTGTAGTAATTGATTAACGTAGGATGCAGGCCTTTTTAAAGGATTATGGGTAATTTAAACCCATAGGACCTATGACTGATAGATGTAAAATTTCAGAAACCTTTCCTACCAGGTTATATTACGTGTTGCTCATGCTGAGGTCTGTTCAAGCAAATTGTGAAATTAAGTATATTTTACCTTGTTTATGTTACTGTCATGATACAACCAGTAAAATGATTGTTAAAAAATACACATTTCCATTCAGTATTAAATTAAATTTATTATCAGTACCAAGATATGTTAAACATTACATTACATGATGCCTGCATTTGAAGCTATGTGTATGATAGGATTAGACAGGCCTGCGATGGTTTTATTGTCTTGAAATTTTTACATGATCTACAGTAATTCCTGTACGCTGAATCTACTTTGCCTAAAACTACTTGAATGCAATAAAAGTTCCCAACTGTAACTGTAATTAGGAAATTTTTACATGATCTTAAGACAGTTATGAATTTTTGTTTACAAAATGCTTTTCTTAATTTTCGAGAGATTTGGTGCTAACGGGCACAGCGATTGGTAATAACACAAGTTTTCATTTTGTGTCCATATAAAAATGTCTTGAAGTGTATGTACACAAACAATATTGGGAGAAAAAAAAAAACAATGAACAAAATTAGTATGAAATGCAAATATTATGGAAGTATTTCCCTTCGATTGTATGAAAATTGATTGCACCAGAGTAAAGTCATGTTGATAGTTTACACTGATTGGCTGCTATCTACCTACTCAAGCTGTACCACACTAGTATAATACCTTTGAAAGTACAAGCAATAGTGTGAAGAGTGCACTTGTGGCTCCCAGTAAATTTGGAGTAATATTTCTCAATCGTACACCGATAAACTTATAGTAGCATAAAAACATAGTGAACTGTGTTTAAAATGTTACAAAAACAAGTATATTGTGCAATACATATTTGCTTTCATTTTGTATTATCTGTAATAATGTATAACTCTTGTACTAATGATAAATTGACCATTTAATTTCAATTACTCATTGTTTGCAACTCCTGTAGTTGTTTTCCCAAAGTGAATGTATTAACAATGAAAATCCTACTACATGCAAAAATCTCTTATTTCTGAAAAATTACATTTTATACATGAAAGTGAATTTTTAAAAGAGATTGTGTGAAGTGGTAATACTGTGTCTTATTTATGATTATCAGTACTTGGTAAACTTTATTCAGAATTTACATTAATATTTTATCTTTTTTTAAACAATTTTACTTTTCAAGTTTTCCTCAAGTCAAAGCCTTCTCTGACTTACCATTTTTTTAATCACCCAGTAAAGATTAGGTCACTTCAAGAGTAATTGATCAAATACTGATATTACTCTTTGGAACACTTGTGATGTGTGGTTGAATACTGGTATAAAACTGTTTGAAATATATAATTAACAAGCCTTTCACACTCTGTAAACGTATTTGTGTGACTGAAATATTATTTTTTTTAATCATACATATCATTCTTTTGTTTCCTTAATACAGCTTTTGAACTTTAATTTTAAGCTCTTCTGTGCATTGGTAGCTTTATAACCACATTGATAAGTTTTTCCATTATTTTAGCTACTGTGTGTAAAATCAGAATATGGACGAATGAAATCTCCATCTTTGCTAAAAGCATGTAAAATCACAACTCAGAAAGCACTCTATGTTTTAATCTGTATTGCTACTTCTATTAGAGGATTTTACTTCTCATCTCCGGTAAGTTTTTAAACGTATTGTGAACATCTGAAATTGCTTAATTTGTGTTTCGATCTTTACTTTCCTACTGAATGAAAAATAAGTCAGATTTAATTTGCAGAGTTGAGGAATAATAATTTTGTTTTTAACAGTTAAATAAACCAGATCATTCAAAAAATTGTGTTAGAATTAGGTATGTTGGCTGTTTTACTATGATGTCACAGTCCAAAGTTTTAATTTTTAGTATGTTTCGAACTTTACTTGTTTTGCTTATATCAAGTATATGCATAAAAAGAAAAGACAATTTTCTCATGATGTATTTTTTCCTCTTTTTAGGAACATGCTGCTCTTCAGTGGACATCAAGTTTACTAAGCGCATATTATCCAGTTCTTCTCTCTGGCTCCTCTCTTGTTGTTTGCTTTTGGGCTGAGGTAAATACTTTTTTTCATACACAAGGTAATGATGCATTATGATAAGTTGAATGTTTTTAATATTATGACATAACCTGCAACATGGTGCATAATTCTGTTTTTGTGAAAAGTGGAACTTTATTGTTTTGTATGTATTAGTGAGAGAACAATAGACTAAAGTGAGTGAATATTTTTAAAATATTGTTATGATAATATTTATTTTTTAATTCATTTCTGTAAACATAGGACTGTCCAATAATGTTACTAAAATTAACTTTCTTTATTCTCACTGATAATTGTTGTTAAAAAATACTTATCTTCGTCGGAATCTAAGAATTGTTTTAGTGTAACTGACTTCTCTTATTAATATGCAGACTTAATTTAATTGGTTAGGGCACTTGATTTGCAATTTGAGGGTTGCAGGTTTGATTCCCCGTCCCACCAAACATGCTCACCTTTTCAGCCATTGGGTCGTTATAATGTGATGGTCAATCCCAGTATTCGTTGGTAAAAGAGTTGGCGGTGGGTGGTGATGA